CTCTTTGGGGTGTATTCCCAGTAGTGGAATTGCTGGGTCAAATGGTATCTCTATTTGCAACTTTTTGAGAAAGCGCCATACCGCCTTCCACCATGGTTGCACCATTTTACACTCCCACCAACAGTGAATAAGGGTTCTAGTTTCTCCACAACCTCATCAGCATTGGTTGTTTGCCAGCTATAGTTGTTGTTTTTTAAACTCCGTGGCATATTTTATTTGATAACTTTTTCAACCTTTACAAAATTCCCTTCTCTCTCTCCCCCTTTCCCTCTCTTTTGAATTATACCACTGCATAGTTTCATTTACTCAGTGGTGTTTAGTGACTATATGTTCAATTAAAGTAAGGTTCTATTACAATTGCAATTCTAAACAAAATGTATATATATCTCATATTAAGTCAGAGATAAGAATTAAGGTAATTCTGATTCAGAGTATTCTCAGGGACTCGGGTATTCAATTGTGGGAGGGGGCTTATTAATTTTTTTTATGAAGAATATTTTAATCCACTTGTTTTCCATATACCAGTTTAGAGAAAAAGGTATCTACATTTCTAGGACTTTTCTCAAGTTGTATATTTTAAGCTTAAAAAGCACAAATGTTCCATTTTATCCTGGAAAAGTCACTGCTTTTGAGTTGGTGTATCACAATATGGCACATTATTTAAAAGAAGGTTTTTCCTAGGAATCACTTTCAGTGTATTGTGGTCTGTGTGAATTCCTTGTATAACAGAGGTCCTGAGTAACATTTCAACATCAGATCCCATTTTCATTAGCTCTTCTATTTTCTTGGGAGAGGTCTCCCGGTTTTTTTTTTGAATTCTTCATTTATCTTTTGTCTGGCTGCTTCTAGTGCTCTCCCATCATTTTTAAGAACTTGTTGTCTGGTCCTGTGCAATGTTTTAAAGAGTTGTAAAACCTTGGCTGCCTGACCCATGGTTCTCCACGCCGCAGCTCTAATTTTAATGAAAGTTTATTTACAGAGACTTAGAGTTTCCACTCATTCATTGTTGCAGCCAGCTATAGTTTTATGGAACCATGATCACTACATGGCAGGAGTCTTTCTGCAGAGAGAAGGGCTCAGAAACTTGATCTTGATTCACTGAAAGCACCCACGGTCTACCAGACAAACTGCTTAATCCCCAGCAGAGAGGCAGGCACATAAACGGACACAGCATCACATACCAACAGTCACGGAGGGCAGACTGGTTTAGAGGGGGTACTGACCTTCCCGAGGGACTCAAGGAAAACTCCAGGGAGATAGGAACTTGAGCAAGCTTCACAAGATAACTAGCACTTGGCCAGATGGACAGCTGTTGCTGGGTGTGTCTGAGTACAGCTCACAGCGACCCTGGAACACCTGCTCTGAAGCCTGTCCTATCCTGTGAGCACCTCTGAAACACTCGAGCCCACTGCTGCCGTCACATAATCGAACCACCGAGGTGAGGATCTTCCCCTTTCATCACTGCTTCACCTTCCAAGGAATGACCTCTCCCAGCAGCGGGCCCAAAGCACGGAGACGAGGCTTCAGCTGCACCTCCAAGGAGCATCCTGGCTGCACTTTGTCCAGGACGTTATCCATTTGTCCTTTTGGCAGCCCGTAGGATACACAGAACAGGAAGGACATGAGGTGTTTAGAGTGGTGCAGACGGGCTTGACATCCCACCCACATGGCGCCAGGCTTGACCCTTCCCTCTTTCTCACTTTCACACACACACACTCCAGACTTAACACCTCTCTCTCTCTCTCTCTCACACACACACACACACACACACACACACAGGCCTGGGACACCAGCAGAGTTTAAGACTGGAGACTTGGAAAGGCAGCTGGACTCTGTTCTCAGGGTGGGGGACCGCAGGAGGGCAAGTCCAGTTTGTGATTTAGAACGTTCAGAATCTCGTGGCAGGATCTTGAAAACACTGAAATGGGATGAGCGAGTGGCAGCAGGTGGGGCCGACTGGTTTCTGGGAGACTCCGAGATCTCCGGCAAAGACAATAAAGTGCTACTCTGGGAGTAGTATTAGCAACACCAGACTCTAGACAAAAACCCCCTTCTCCTTCTTCCCTTTCCCCAGCATCACCTTGCACTTCAGAATCTCCTGTCCAGCTTCACCCGCTTTCAACTACACTCAGAGCCCGGTCTTCATGATGCCCCAGGTGAAGATAGAGATGGAGTCGGACTACGACTTCCCAGACATGGAGAGATACCGGAGAGACGCGGACGGCGAGACCACGCTGTAGAAGACGCAGCAGTTCCGGGTGGTGACCGAGCGAGGGGCGGGTGGCTCCCAGTTATGAGGGTAACCGGTAACCGCTCCACGCCCCAGCTCCCTCCTTTATCAGGGGGAGTCGGCTTGATAGTAAACTGGAGGTTGATGGACAGAAGGACCTTGTAGATGCAAAGCTCTGCCCTCCCCTTTGTTATTAAAATAACTGGAAGCAGAGTGTTCCACCTTCCTCAAAAATACAATCCATCATAGAAATTAGGACATTTCTTTTGAAACAGATCAGATGCTTGCTTTCCAAATCCATAGTTAAAAGAGATAAAAGAGGCAATTGTCAGTTTCCATTTAAAATGAATACCCGTTATGATTTCTCTTAAAGGATAGGTTGTAAAGAATCTGTAGAGTCTTGAAAGAACTAGTGAAACACTCTTACTTCACTAGGCCAAGGTGGGGAAATTTGTTTTGCAGTCTTAACACGTGAAGCACTGGAAAGCGTCTTTCTTTCCTGCTTATTGTCTGAGGAGCTTGTGGAAAGTGAACCATCTGCGTGAAGGTTTCTGCCACTCAGAAGTGTGACCCAGGCCCAGCAGACTGAAAAGCCAGGTCCACAGTCTTTTGAGGAAAGAACCAACATATTTGCATGGACTAAGGTTTTTAAAACAGAACAGGTTTGCTGAAGTGAAATCTAGCTTTTAATTAGAATCACTGGGTTTGCTTTCATGTCAGAATAAGTGATGTTAGTCAAACCAATGTCTCGAAGGGAGGATTTGTAGCCCTTTGGGTAGAGTTAACCCCAAAAGAAAACAAACCCTTTTACAATGAGACTGAGTATCAGCCATTTTATCTTCAAACTATATATTAAACCCAGCCATGTTTATTTAACACCTAATTCCGGGCCTGTCATCCCAACAAAGAAACACAGAATCTGTCATGACTTTCTCCAAACTGTGGAGAGTAAATACTTTTTGTCACTAGCTATTAAAAATAACAAATGCAGTGGCTTCCTCTAAGATAAATGACACTATATCACTAATACCTTGAATGCCAGGATGGCTAACTGCCTCTGTAAACCCAGAGCTTAGGTTAGTATCATGTCCTGTCCATGCAAAGTCCTCGGTGTTTCTTGAAAGAAATCTCCGAGCTCCCTTCCAGGAGATTTCTGCCAAGCGGTGAGGCTTTAAACCTTTACATCTACTGATCGTAGTGGAATCACGTAGGCTGCTAATCCAGGAACATCCGCTGATCTTACGTGCAAACCTCTTTCATCTGCATCTGTACCATCCTGGAGCGAGTTAGCAATCTCTGACACGCCGGTTCGAGACCCTGGCTGATCCGGCGACACAGCACGTGGTCCAGATTCAACTGTAGAAACGTTATCGATTCAGGGGAGTAGATGTGCTTGATTCCTCAGACAAGCTGGGAAACCATTCTGAATTGTTTTGTTGTTCTAAGTGGGTTGCTGCCATTTTCCACTTGTGTATTGCTCGGCTGCTGTGTCCCCAGGAACACCCTCATCTCCACAGCTTTCGCCAGGCTGTCATCGCTGCTTGTTCTTGTAGGATAGGAACTGTTTTCCCCACTTGTAAGCAAAACGCTCATTAAAATGTAATCCTGTCCATCTTGTTCTACATTTAATAATTTGGGTGAACCAGAGAGGGAAGCCTCACAGGCGTGAGCTCTCTCTCCCTGACAAAAAGCCCTTCCAGTAAACTGTTAAAGGAACAAAGCTGGCTGGCAGAGGAGCAAGGAGGACACAGGTGGCTTCCAAGTGTCCTCCGTCCTAGTTCTGCCCCCAAGCTGCCAAACATTCTTTATTTCATCAATGTCTAAATCCACAGTCCAGCGGTGAACACACCTCCTTCACCTGAGCCTTGAAAGGAATAGAGCAAACACCTTGCGATCAAAATTCTGCCAAATCAAAGGAATACTTATATTTCAGAAAGTCATTCCACACCGGACAGAGGTGTTTTATTTAAAAAAAAAAGCTTTAATCAAAATCTGGTTAAATTAAATTATTAACTCAATATGTAAAAACATTTCAAGAAAGCCAGCAGGTACATCAGAGAGAAGCAGGCAGTTCTTTGGTGGAAAAAACTAAATTGCATACATACACAACCTGCCCAGGAATTTTCAAGCCCAACTCTTAGCAGGTTTCTCAAAAAAGAGGTCTCCAGATCTTCCAAGAAACCAGAGACACCCTTTAATAGTACAAAATTTTTTTAACAATGATGTTTAAAGATACAGCAAAAGCAAAATAGGACCACATATTGAATAACTTATAAGACTTCTAGCCCTGGAAAACGGGGGTGCACAGCCTCACTGGATAGTTAACATAAAGAGTTAGACACGCCGCAACTCGAGACATTTGCAAGTGACTGAACCATGACGACACGTGAAAAATCTTATGAACGTGTATCTTTCCCTCTTTTTAATCCTTACCCAATTCAATATTATCTAGCTAAACTCAGTAGTCAGTTGATGCATGTATAAATCGGGGTACTATACACCCAATCTCTACCTTTTCTTGCTTTTTTTTTTGTTTTCCCCGAGCAACAATTTTTTTTTTCTCCTTTGGTTTGACCAGTTGAACTTAACAGGTTTAAAACCTCAAGTATCAACTCGTGTTGGAGGAGCACTTGGGAAACGCAGCTGCAGAAGAGGCCAGTCCGAGTCCGTGAAGCGCGGCTTGGCAACGTCAAGCCTCCCTTTCTCAGCAGGAAGACGCCCCCCACGTGAGGTGCCCGAGACTAGATCCCAGGACGGAGCTGACGCTGGTTCTCCTGTGAGGTCTCCTGTGAGGTCCGACAGTCGTATGTGCAAACACCCACCCGTGAAAATTAAGAGCATCCTCTTAACCCCCGTCAGTACAATAAATAAGGGATCCTGCCATTGCTGGTTTGCTGCGTGGATCAGCTTGCAATGCTGGGGGTGACAGCCACTAATTAGATGCCACCCCGAGCTCTTTGGGCTTGGGCACCTCCCGTTCTTCAGGCCTGAGCAGTTTTTTGGCTGCAATGATGGTGTTCTTCATGAGCATGGCGACCGTCATGGGGCCAACGCCCCCGGGGACTGGCGTGATGTACCCAGCTTTCTTCCTGACTCCTGCAGACACACAGGCGAGGACTTCAGTGGGAGCAAAGGACACGCATGCGAGCTAGCATGGTAGGAAAGAGGCAGGCGAAGAAGCTGCCAAGACACACATGAGCTCTCAGACTCGACCTCACACCCGCCTAAGGAAAGCCCGGCTGCCTGGCTCGACAGTAAAGATTCTGAGCATACTAACGACGGGATCTCTGGTGGCTGCGTGGTAAGGAGCTGCCCTGCCATCCCAAAGGCACAAGGTTCGAATCTACCAGCTGCTCCCATGGGATTTATAGCCCCTGAAAACCCTTTGAGGGATCAGCTAGGAGTCAACTTCAGCTCCAAGGCAATGAGTGAACAACCCCGTAAGTGGATCCCATAAGCACCTTAAAATAATTCTAGAATGGCGATGATTTTTAAAAGATGTGTCTTATAAAGAACACATTTTAAATGGTATGATCACGGTAGTTGAAGAGTTAAAAGATGATTTGTCTTAAATATCCATAACAGGCAGGATTTTCCATTTTTTTAGAAAATTATACCCTTTACCTTCAAAATCCACATCCCCAACCAGCTTGGGTTTAGCGGTTACGGGATCCTGGATTCTGTTTATTCCCACGTCGATGATGGCTGCCCCTTCCTTGATCATATCTGCCGTGATCAGGTTTGGGATGCCTGGACATGGGGAGGCAGGAATGATCAGTAGACTTAGTAGTGAGATTCTGGTTGTCTAATTTCACTTTCAACAGAGCTAGCGGATACATTCACATTTTAGAAAAAAACTCCTGAACGTGTTAGCCAAAGAACTGTTTCCACCTTATATACCAAACGACTATTTTGAAGCTTGAGAGAACAGCATTCATCTCTCAAGTCTGCAGTGGAATACCGGGAACCAGTATCAAGGTCTCGTTTTGGGGGATGATGAAATGCAGGCAGAAAACACAAAACAGCTGGGGAAAGGCCCCCTCCCATGCGTTCTTACCGGCTGCAGATACCACAATGTCGGCAAGAATTGTGTGTTTCTTCAACTGCTCTTTAGGAGTGTGTCGATGAGAAATCGTAACAGTCGCATCGCCTGTGCAGGAAGAAACGGGTGCCTTGACTGTCAAAGCCACAGTTGTTTGCTCTTCACACGGCCCTCACCTTACCTTTCACTTGTTGTCAGATACCATCCAGCTGACCACAGTGCACACGACCCAGTGAACATCAGATCTGAACCCTGCTCTGTCCCCACGTCTCTGATACTCTCGGGCCCACTGTTACTGTCACGGTGTCAGTCCATCTGCTGGGGGGTCCTCCTCTTCTCTAACCCTCCACCCTTCCCAGCGTGATGTCCTTCTCCAAGGACTGGCCCCTCCTGACCACAGACCCTAAGGATGTGAGATCAGCTTCCCTCATCCTGGCCTCTAAGAAGCACCTTGACAGAACCTCAAGTTCAAGACGGAAATTAGGCTTTCCCTTGATAGTGACCTAGACAGACTTGCCTTTAGAAACCTCCACTGTGAGTTTGATAGCTGGAGCTAAGAAACAGTTCTTACTCAATGCTGGATTCTCATTCTGTGTTTGGCAGGAGAGGCATTGTGAAGGCCAAGGTCCTACTGACTAGAGGAAACACCTTATCTAAATCAGTGCCTTCACTCTCATTCAGATTACACGTGACCAAATCGGAAATAACGGCCAAACTCGACTTCTAGTTCTCTCTCTCAGCAAACTCCTTTTTTATATCTTGCTTCATTTTGGTGATATTTCGCTTAGAAAAATTAAACATTTTAAAAGGCTGTTACATAGAAGAAGGAATAAATTTAACTATGTCAGGGCCTGGTTAATCTGCAAAGCAGGATCAGCAATGCATTGTAAAAACAGCAGGACCACTCATCTTGGCTTGACCATCCATTCTGCAGTAAACAACTCCAGGAAGCAGTATGCTAATGAATAAGGAGGGACCAAAGGCCTCAGAATTCTAGGAATGTGATACCTTCTTGTTTTCCAATAGATACCATAGGATATCCCGGAAGATGTCTTTGTTTTGAGTTGAGGTCTGGGAATGTTTGATCTACCAGTCAACATCTCAGACAGATATCAGATAATGCAATTACCCCTGCAGGCATGTTCCTAAGGGGGGGGGGGGTGTGGTGTGTGTGTGTGTGTGTGTGTGTGTGTGTGTGTACACCCTGGCCAGAATATTAAACTTGCTATTTGTCATCAGCATTTAACCTCTCCGCATCTTCATTTCAACCTGGTGCCTCCTTTTGGCGGAATTCTCCTGACATATCGGGGCTGGATCCCCGATATAACTATGTCTCCAAACTCCATCTCGCCTACTTTGACCATGTTGTTGGAGGGGCCAGTCCTTGGGGAAGTGGCATCATGCTGGAGAAGGAGGAAGGACAGAGAGAGAGAGGAAGGCCCTGGAGGAGGTGGACAGTGACACCAAGGGTTCGAGGACGCTGGAGACGGTGAGAACGGTACAGGAAAGGCCTGGTTCAGATCTGTTCACAGGGTCACTACAAGTCACAGCTGACGACTAGTATCTAACACCAACAAGCTGCTCCCTAAGTGAGGCTTCCCACAGTGAAAGGCCCCCCCAGGCAGAGGACACAGCCCAGGGCACCTCTCTTACCTCCCGGGCGTTCATGGGCCCCATCCGTGTGCAGCAGCATGGCGATGGGCATGCCCACGTTCTTGGACCTTCCAGCCACCACCACGTTCTTCCCGAGGGTGGGGATTCCTACCAAGACAACATATGCTGGGATCAAAACAAGCCTGAGATTGAGCGCCAGGGAGGAAGAGGCGGGCAGCTTCTGCTCAGACAGGGTAGTCCCCAAGCTCCCGCCTGGTCGGCTCACTGGACTCCACACACAGCTCACCCAGTGACCAGTGGCCACCAGGGCATCTCAGACCCCTGGTGATGCCAGGCGTATGGCAGTGGAGACACCCACCCAAGGGGGCACTCCGAGGCAAGCCGACTGCCAGATGGCCTCGATTTTCTGGTTCGCAGCCAAGTGCTTACGAGCGTGCACCACCAGGGCCACACCAGCCCTGCTCGCTAAACACACTGACTGTTGGTGTCGTCCAGGGAGAGTCGCTCTGCTAACCCGCGCTGATGGTTCAAATCCACCAGCGGCTCCGCAGAAGGGTGGGCGATCTCCCATCGTGCGACTTAGAGCCTCTGAAAACCCACTGGAGGACAAGCTCCGAGCTGGTTCTGACTGGGGGGCAAGGAGTTTAAGGGCTTTGCTATTTCAGAGGAAAAAAAAGGAGAAACAGCCCTTTGTAAAGGGCTTTAAAATTCTAAAATGTGTCGTCTTTTGTAAGACAACAAAATGTCCCATGGATGTGCTGTGTCCACCAACCATCTCCTCCACTGAGGCCTGTAGGTCAGACAGCAGGGCAGCCCCTGGACACGGGAAAGAGCGGTCACTGCTGCGAGGACCCCCACCCTTCGGGACTGTGTAGACTTCTGCCAGCAGAAGGGGGCTCTGGTGGTCTAGTGGGTAAGGAGTTGTGCTGCAAACCCAAAGGCACGCGGTTCAAATCTATCAGCCGCTCTGCGGGAGCGAGACAGGCAAGCACCTCCTATGCGATTTAGAGCCTCTGAGAACCCGCCGGAGGGTCAGCAGGAGTCCATCTGGCCTTGCGGGCACATGACAGCCAGCATCCCTGCAGGGGGGCCACCTACCCGTTCGCTTAATGATCTCCCACACCCCCCAGGGCGTAGCTGGCAGCATGGAGTCCTGGTCCAGGCACATCCGCCCCACGTTAATGACGTGGAAGCCGTCAACATCCTTGTCTGGGGACACGGCGTTGCAGACCCTCCTTTCGTCGATGTGGTCTGCAGGGGAGGACAGTGTGGGCAGTGACTCCTGCTCCGTGGTCAGGTCCACTCGTCTGGAGGCCCCCACGCCCCCAGGCCCCTCGACACCCTGCCCACCCCAAGCTTTCCTCCACCTGCACTCCCTGCACCCCATGTAAGCAAAACCGGACGCCTTTATCCAAGCCAGTGTCCTCTGGGCAGCCACCCCCCTCCACTGTCCTCTGAATCAAGAGCTCAGGGTGGAATGAAACTGGACTGGCCAGATCCACCCCCACCTCCCCTTTCAGGACAAGTCCTCTGTGAGAGGGAGGTTTTACAAAGTGAGAAGTCCCTCCACTCCTCGGTCACCGCCCAGAACTCACCTGGGAGCGGCAGCTGAACGAGAAGGCCGTCCACGTTGTCATCATTGTTGAGCTTGGTGATCAAATTCAACAGTTCTTCCTCGGAAATCGAAGCTGGCTTCAAAATCGTCTCACTGCTGATCCCTGTCAAAGCAGAACGTGGAGACGTGGGCCCTTTGTGAGGACGGCCGTCCACCTGCCGAGCTCCTCCACCAGAAAGGTGGCTTCTCGTCATCACATACATCCCCACACCCATAAAAGACCAATGGCAGGCGAGGAACCTACACACTGTCCTAAATACATCACCAAACTGGCATCATTCCACACAACCCTCAAGGACTTTGTTTCCCAGACAAGGATACAGAGTGTCTGAGATACGAAAGATCAAAGCATCAAGTGACAAAGAGTATTATGCCCAGATCTCTCCAGTTCCAAAACCCATGCCCTCCACTGCGACCTGCTACCACCTCCCAGTGCCTTAAGCCATGGCCTGCGATTGCCTGCAAGGGCCTCGGTTACAGGGACAAGTGATCTCTCTCCCTGGGGCTACAGTGCACCCAGGCAGAGGTCAGCAGCCCAGTGACTCAGCCACGCCAGGGGCTTCATGGCCCTTCAGAGCCAGGACACTGGGCACCTGAACAAAGAAACCTGGGGGAGTGGGCAGAGGCATCCGAGCATGTCCACCTCTTCTCTGTGGTCACACAGGAATCTGCAGCACAGAAAGACCCAGAACACAAAGCCCCAGCTGCTCATTCAGCATTCAAAACTCCAGTGACTTCCTGTTTGCTTCATTGTCTTTCTGGTGAACATTTACACAGCAGAACTCACGCCATTCTACAATATCTAATCGTGATGACCGGTGGTCCTGTGGTCACGTCTGCACTGCGTCAACAGGCTCATTCATTCATCTGGTGGTCTTCAGCTCCCTGACCCCCCAACCTTTTCATCAAGGCTTCAGAAGAGCTGTTGGCACTCCAGCCTCAGCCTGATAAATATATTTTTAAATACAATCCTCAAGGGTGACACATTTACCCTTCTGGGCTGACCTGTTACTTAGTTTTTTGTGTTGACATCTTTTTAAATGTGATTTTATTTTATAGTGGTTTGCATACTCCACAATTTGAATATATTCCATTATGAATGTAGGTGAATTTTGTTTCATTCACGTACACTGGGCTTCACACGTTCCTTCACTCACTTTGTGTTTCATACAGTTATTCACAGATATTTTATTTCATAAAATCCATCACCATTGATCTGTGCTACCATGACCTCGGCTTTTCAAGTCCCCCCTGGACCTTTCCCATTCCTTCACAACCTCCACCCTCTGACCCCCAAACTCTAAAATCCTAGTCATTTCCCACCTCCCCATGTTCTGTCCCCTTGCCCCCACTTCTCCTTTTGGACGTTTATACACATTTTCCTAGCTGTCCTTCTATTTTTACAATAACGGTCTTCTGCAGTATCTGTCCTTATGAGACTGAGTTAGTTCAACCTGTTACTTAGCTTAAATATGACTTCTGGGGATCGATGCAACTCAAAGTTTGACAACGAACTCAGGGCCAGAGTCTCTGGGACTCCTCCAGCCTCGGTAGGTTCCGAGCCCATGGCCATTGAGTCACTTTCAGGTCACAGTGGCCTGAAGGCTGTCAGTCTTTCTGGGAGGGGACTGCCCACCTTTCTCCCTTGGAACACCTCGTGGGTTTGAACTGTGGACCTTTCAGTAATGTGTCACATTACGTACATGTAAAGTTCTGAAAAGTTCTGAAACTGAGGAGGACCTGAAATGCTTGCTGCAGAGGGTCAAGGACTGCAGCCTTCAGTATGGATTGAGGCTCAATGTCAAGAAGACAAAGATTCTCACCACTGGGCCAATTGACAGCATCAGGATGGATGGTGAAGAGATTGAGATTGTTCACAGCTTTAGTTTGCTTGGCTCCACAGTCAACACTCTTGGCACCAGTAGCCAGGATATCAAAAAATGTATTGCCGTGGGAAAGTCTGCGGTTAGGGACCTCTCTAAAGTACTCAAGAGCAATGGTGTCACTCTGGAAACTAAGGTGTGTCTGATACAGGCTATGGTCTTTGCAATCACTTGTTATGCATCAGAGAGTTGGACAGTGACTAGGGAGGATAGAAGGAGAATTGATGCCTTTGAGCTGTGGTATTGGAGAAGAGTGTTAATGTACCATGGACTGCTAGGAAAACAAACAGATTCAT